TGTTTCTATGATATTTAAAAATACAAAAAAATATAAAAATCTTATAGAAATTAAATAATTTAATATAAATCATTAGTAAATTTAAGAAAATTAATTAATTATAACTTACGTATATTTTGTTAAGAAAATTTTATGAAGTATATTATTTTTATTTAGATATGGTATCATGAATTTTATACTAATCGATGAACTATTTTTGCTAGTATATTTATGTATATTGTTGAAAAATTTTAGCCAATGAAAAATATTAGAAAATTTATTATCATGGTCAATAAATTTTAATAGCTTATCGATAACATATTGAAAATCTTTATTATAGTATATTGCTATAACTATGCTAGAAATATAAATGCTAGAAATAAAATAAATTAACAAATAGCTTAATTAAAAATTTGTTTGGAAAAGTTACTTACATAATAATTGTTTGATGTAAGTTTATAGTATTTTTAAATTTTTTTCGTATACTGTACATTTAAATTTTTAATAAATAATTATAAATTTTAATTATTATAAATTCTTAAAAGTTCTTACAAATAGTTTCCATTAGTTAATGAATATTGATAATCTAATAATAATTCCAATGATTGTAAAATTTCATCTAGATTCATTGAATCAATTTGAAAGTTGCTTAAATTACTATTATAATTATTAATAGCTGATTCATCATAATCATCATCAGCGTCATCATCAGCATCAGCATCAGCATCAGCATCAGCATCATCATCATCATCATCAGCGTCAGCATCAGCATCATCATCATCATCATCATCAGCGTCAGCATCAGCATCATCATCATCATCAGCATCAGCATCAGCATCAGCGTCATCATCATCATCAGCATCATCATCTGTCTCATAATCAGTACCATCACTATAATCACGTTTCGTATCAATATTATTACAATTATTATCTAAAATACTTTCAATATATTTATCAACTAATGAAACGCTAGAAATATTGTGCAATTTTAATAAATAACAAATCGATGTACTAGTAGGTCGTTCATTGGGTTCAAAATGTAACATTAATATTAGCAATTTGCTAATTATATTTATTTCATTATAAATATATTGGTTGTTAATATATTTCTGATGCCAACAACTATAATTATTTAAATATAAATTTATTATTAATAAAATTTATATATTTTTAATAGAAATTATAAATATTTTGTTGTTGTTAATAACTTACTTGATCATTTTGATGAATAACTCATGTACGGCAATTTTATCATTTTCATTAATTATTTTACTGTAATAAATTTAAAATTAAAATTAACAGTAAAATATTAAATATTATATTATAAATATTACTATTAAATATATATATATATATTTATTTATTAATCTTATACTAACTATATTCTGGATTTATTGCATACACCAAACAATTGCAATAATATTATACCTAAACTATAAATATCACATTTTTCATTGTATACGAGTCTACTATCATCATCGATATCATCGCAAACTTCTGGTGCCCTATAGATACCTGTACAGCAATCATTATTGTGAGAGTATGATTTGTTACCTTCACGTATATGTTCAGTGGCCAAACCAAAGTCACATAATTTTATAAACCGATTATCATTTAGTTTATCATTCAATAGTATATTATCGGGTTTGAGATCTCTATGAATAACCGGCGGATCTCTTGTATGCAAATATCTAACGAATTCACAAATTTCATTCAATAATTGACATGTAATGTAATATTCCATACAATCCATCGGTTTATTTACAGATCGTTGAAATGTTTTTTGTTTAAATTTAATTAGTTTTTTCAAACTTTGCGAACATAACTCCATTTGTATGTATAGTATGTTATTATTTGGTTCAATCCATGCATCGTAATAGTGGACAACAAATGGCGACCGAAGTTTACGTAATTTAATTACTTCAATATTATCAATAAAATTTGTATCTTCTAAAAAATAGATTAATATAATACATATTATATTTTTGTTAGTAATAAATATATMTATATATATATATATATATCAGGGATAAGCAAGGTTTAGGATTTGGTCAAGGGGGGGTCTACTCGATAAATCTTGGAGTGGGGGTCTAGGGTGTGGTGTAGACTTTTATTGCATTTTTATTTAAGCTCAAATTATTTTTAAAAAAATCCTAAATCACGGGTAAATCAAGTATAAATTTCCTAAAATTCCCGTATAAATTCCAAAAAAATTTTCTCAAAATATAGTATAAATATATATATATATATATATATTTGTTATCTTACCATCTATTGCAATTTGTTTAATAGCATATAATTCACTATTAACTTTATGTTGACATTTATAAACACTACCATAACTACCGCAACCAATACGATCAATATTATTAAAATTGTCAGTAAAATAATTTATCTGTCTTTCAGTAATATGGAAATAATTTTTATAATTAACATTAATAATTTCAATTGTTTTCTGATGTTTATCAATAAATAGATTTTCAAAATTATTATATTTAAATTGATATAAACTGATATTATCTGATAAGAAATTTTTATGATTAATTTGATAAATAAAATTACTATCACTTTTACGGATATAATTTTCATGTATTTCCCGAACATTTTCCAATCGACTAATAAATTTCGGTATTTTTATTGATGTTGTTGTTTGGCTATCATTATACATATCATAATCATCTGTARTAAGTGTTCCGCATTGATATACCCGACCATTGGTTGATAAGAAATATGTTTGTTGTATAGATATGTTATCAATTGAATCCAAATAATAACCAATAGATTTAATATTAATATCTATTAAATCGATTATTACAATCGGATTGTAAACGCGTATACCACTAGTTTTATTGTTATGACCTAACTGTCCATCATCATTACAGCCCCAACTATATACCCGGCCATTACTATCTATAGCAAATGAATTAGTTGCATAACATTGAATTGATTTAATTAAAACATTAGTATCACTATTGGTTGGAAAGTAAACCGGAGTCGGCCTATGAATAGCATCAGCTGTTTGTCCGCAACCGCACTGTCCGTCCGAGTTATTACCCCATCCATAGACAGTGCCCGCACTGGTCAGGGCTAGTATGTGAAAATAACCGCAAATAATGTCAACAATAAATGTATTTCTAGGAAATGTAACAATGACTGGTCGGCTAAACGCATTAGCACTGGTATTATCCAATTGATTGAATTGATTGCGACCCCAACTGTATATATGTTGGTCATCCCCATCATCACCGCCATCACTAACACCGGTAGTAGTTGTAGTAGTTGTCATACACAATGTAAAGTCAAATCCAGTAATAATTTTTTTGATAGACTTTCCCCGTAATTCCACTAATTCTTGTCTATAATTAATTGGTTTGTTGTGACCCAAACCTAGTAAACCAAATGTATTATCGCCCAACGTATAGACACGTTGATCATTATTTGTAACAAACCATAGACTCATATTATTCAAATAAAATTGTTTAATATCAATTGTTTTAATATCAATTGTTGGAAACAATTGTCTGATTTTATCAAATAAATCATACATTTTATATTTATATATACAGTATATATAAAATAGAAATAAATAACAACAACAAAAACTTTTATTAATAAATTAATAATTTTTAACTACTATTTGATATTTTTAAAAAAAAACATATTAATAATATTAAATTTACTAAAATTAAGTGAACTATTTTCTTATATAGTTTGATTTCAATTATCATTTAAAGTAAATTACCATGACAATAAATATTACCTCAATATATATATACTGTATATACTTTGAAACATTTAAAAAAAATTATTGATATACTTATCTACAAAATAATCCTGGATTAATTTTGATAAATAATTAAGTATATTGTTTTAGATTTTCAAATAGTAGATAAAATAAAATAAATTATTAATTATAATTTTAGTGTTTTATATAATAGATTTTAATTGTTTAATATATAATTGTGATATTTAATTGTAATTTTAATGTCAATAAATAAATACTGTTTATTACATCAATAAATAAATGTTATTTAAACACTTTTTTTATGATATTTAATTATTGATATGAAAAACTATAGAATATTATTGTATTAATAATGTATTTGTAGATTAAAGTTAAATATATAAAAATATATATATAAATATTTTTAAACAATTTTTTTAGAACATTTAAAAAATATAAATATGTAAATTTATATATAAGCTTATTATTATTTTTTAAAAAGTTAACTATGTTAAAAGTTAAAAATTTTGTAAAATTATGTATAATTTGGGAAAAATAGGACGGCAATGTTTTATTTAGTTATATAAAATTAATTAAAAAACAAACAAATATTTTCAATAATATAGCTTGTCCCGGTAATTTCATTGCATATTGATTTTGTATTTATAAAATAAAATTATTAATATTTTGTTTAGTTTGCTAATAAAATATTTAATTCTATTGTTATAATTATACTTTACTATCACATTAATTTAAATATACAGTATATACTTTTTTATATATATATATAAATATAAGATATATATTATGCAATAATTTTATTTATGCTGTTATATTTTGTTATCTAATTTTTATATGACTACAATTAGCAATATTGTTGAAAACTAGTTAAATAGTTATTAATTTTTTAACTATTTCAAAATGATATATGATCCATATTTTCAGTATATGTACACAAATATGGAAATTATTTTCATTTTTAGAAAAAATATGAATTAAAAAACATTTAAGTTATATATAATTTTTGTAATTTTACATATATTTGTGTAATATTTTACAGTTTAAGACTTATATTTTTTTCAACAATAGCTTTATAAACTAATTTGTACCTTATTTATATAAAATATTTAATATATTTATTTTACATTAAATCAATTTACAAACAAATAATTAACAACTTGTATTAAATTAAATAATAAATATTTTTATAAGTTGTTAATTATTTGTTTGTAAATTGATTTAATGTAAAATGAATATATTAAATATATTATATAATTATTATTATATTATATTTTAATTAATCCATATTATGTGTAGACTAAAAAAATAAATTGAAAAATTTTAATTATAATTTTTTTTAAATATATTTATTGATAAATACTAATACCTTTTTGTTATCAATGTTATCATTGCTATTAGTTAACTGTCTTTTATAAGTAGTAGTAGTCAGCACTTGGTGTGTATCGACTAGAGTCGATTGGTTGTCAACATCATTAACTACTGGTGCCGATAGATAACTACCATTACCATTACCACTGGTTACTTCATCAAATTGATTACTTGTGTCTACTAATACTATTAGCACAGGTAGATGATGATAATAATAATAATAATAATAACATATCATTATTAATAGTCATATCTGAAGACAACAATTTCATTACCTTTTTCGTTGACATCGTTGTCATCGGTGTCGTTGACTTCCATATCACTGATCACTGTCTGTGGCATTAAATCCGAGTCCTCATCACTGGTAGTAGTAGTAGTAGTAGTAGTAGTCATAGTACTGTTGAATAGATTTAATTGTCTAAATGTTTTCAATAAATCCAATATATTATTCAATGTATGGCCAAAATTTAGGTCCGAATGATTAGACTGATTGGGACTATTTATAGATAACTGGCCATCAATTGTTGATACTCTATCTGATGATAATAAAGGCATAACACTAGCAATACTACTACTACTACTACTGGTATTGAAATTATTGTTATCATTGTTAGCTAAATTTAAAGCTAAAAAATATTGATTAAGAAATTGTGAAATTTGATCCAGGTCACCCGATGATTGTAGGGGTACTAGTACTAGTGCCTGGTCAATTAGATTTTTCAATAGTAAACTACTATCTAGTGTATTAATGGTAGGACTTATAGTGGATAGTAATTGTTGAACAGATTTTTCAATAATCAAATTTGATTGGAACTGGTTAGATACAGGTGCCGATGATGATGATTGGTTGTACCAATTACTGGTCCCTTCACCAAATTTATTGTTTTTGTTGTCAGCACAGGTGGCTATAGTTTTATTATTATTTGGTACCGATTTGCATAAATCATATTTTAGATTTAATTTAACCATATTTTTCAATAGTCTAACAATTTCTCTAACAGTGTTTCTATAAAATTAAATAAATAAATAAATTATTATTCAAATATTTTTTATAAATAAATAATTATTTAATATTTTTTTTAAATAATTTAAAACTTACGTATATTTTGTCTCAAATATTATCTTAAATATAGTACTAGCCATTGATTTACATAATAATTGTTGATAATTGAATTTAATATCGATATCTAGTGTTGATATTTCAGGTATATATTTATTATGAATATTACAAATAAATTCCTGCCAATCGATTACTGGATCATTCAATTGATTTTTGCCAAAAATTTTCAATATATCATTGATAACATATTGAAAATCAATTGCATAATAAACAGATATATTTTGGATAAAAAAATTGTAAATTTATTTTTTAAGAAAAAACATTTTTATTGATGTTAGTATAATTATTAATTAAAAAATATCTATACTTACATAATTGTTATTCGCAATTGTTTAATTTTATTTTCCAATTCAACTATATTGCTAAATAATTATTTATTTATTTATATACTGTATATACTTTATACTTTTTATATACTTTATATATACTTTATATATATATACTGTATATACAGTATATCTATTTAAAAAAAAAATAAATATCAAAAATTACTTACAATTGATCATCGGTTTCATCAATCAATGAATAATTATATTCTAGTTTATGATTGAGACCTTCTAGTGATGATTCATAATAGACATCATAATCAATGATAGTATCGCTATAAATAGTTAATTGATCATGTACATTTTTATTATCATCATCACTAATTGATAGTTTAAATAGACTATCAATATAATTATGGTTATTATTATTATTATTATTATTATTAAATAACAATTGATATATTGGACAAGTTTTTCAATTTTATTATAAAATTAATTGTTGTACTTTTGGGTCGTTCCCCTGACTCGTAGTGTATCATTGATTTTAATAGTTTACTAATTAGATTTATGTAATTAATAATTTTCATATTATATTTGTTATTTTCAGTCCAGCAACTTTAGATAAAATAAATAAATAAATTCTAATAAATTTAAAAATTTTAATAAATAATTTAAATAATATATAATATATATATATAACTTACTTTATAATATGTACAATTGATTCATATATTTTAACCTTGTTAGTATTTTTATCGTCAACAATGTTTCTATAATGATAAAAAAAATAAATACAATCAAAAAAAATTAAAATTTTAATATAATTTAATTTAATTTTAATTAGTAGTTCTAATTAGATTTTGTTTTTTAAATCTTGTAAATAGTTTAATAACTAAAAAAATATAATAATTTTAGCTAATAAATTTTTAAGTAGAAACAAATATAATATAAAATTATGTTAACTGTATTTAAATGATAAAAAATAAATATTTATGTTTATTTATAGACTTACTGTATATGATTTTTATTGCATATACCAAACAATTGCAATAATATAATACCCAAACTATAGATATCACATTTTTCATTGTATGGTAACCTATCATCAATAGGTCCAATAACTTCCGGTGCCCTATAGATACCGGTTCCACAATCAGCTGTATGCGAGTAGGACCTGGATCCGTCACGTATGTGATCGCTGGCCAAACCAAAGTCACATATTTTGATAAACCGATTATTTTTAAACGGATTTTCAACGATAAGTATATTATCGGGTTTGAGATCTCTGTGAATAACCGGCGGTTGTCGGGTATGTAAATATCTAACCGATTCACAAATTTCAAGCATTAGTTGACTACAAGTATAATAAACCATACAATCCATCGCCGATTCAGTAGACGATTGTTGAACTGTTTGTTCATTAATTAATTCAATAAATTTACGTAAACTTTGCTAACATAACTCCATTTGAATGTATAGTCGACTACTGTTTGGTTGAATCCATGCATCAAAATAGTGTACAACATATGGTGACCAAAGTTTACGCAATTTATTTACTTCTCTAATATCATCTAAATTCATAACAACAACAACAAAAAATTCATATAAATTTTTAAAAATAATTAAATAATTAAAAATTATAAATATTTATATACATACCTATATCATTGATTTGTTTAATAGCAAACTGTTTGCCACTATCTATATGATTACAATGATAGACAATACCATAACCACCCGAACCTATTTCATAATTTTTAGTAAAATTATTATCCAGATAATTGTCATCTGATTTTTTAGTATATTGATGATAATAATCAAATTGTGGATCAACTTTAATTATTTCGACGGTTTCCTTATTTATATTGATAAATAAATATTGAAAACTATTATAATCTAGTTTTAGTAAATTGATTGTTGATTTTGTTGGTTGTGTTGTTGAAGTTGTTGTTGTATTTAATATATTATAATTTAATTTATATAGAAAAATACTATCATTTTTCTGTATGTAATTATTATGTATTTCCAAAACATTATCCAATTGACTGATTAGTTTAGGTGTTTGGTTATCATCCATATTATTATCATCGGTTGTAAGTGTTCCGCATTGATATACCTGACCATTGGTTGATAGGAAATATGTTTGTAATATTATTAAGTCATTTATGACTTTTGAATAAAATCCAATCGATTTGATTGATATATGTTTTAAATCGTTAATTAATTTAGGACTATAGATAATATGATTGTCACCATTACCATCATCACCATCATCACCATCATCACCATCATCACCATCATCACCATCATCACCATCATCACCATCATCACCATCATCACCATCATCACCATCATCACCATCATCACCATCATCACCATCATCACCATCATCACCATCATCACCATCATCACCATCATCACCATCATCACCATCATCACCATCATCACCATCATCACCATCATCACCATCATCACCATCATCACCATCATCACCATCATCACCATCATCACCATCATCACCATCATCACCATCATCACCATCATCACCATCATCACCATCATCACCATCATCACCATCATCACCATCATCACCATCATCACCATCATCACCATCATCACCATCATCACCATCATCACCATCATCACCATCATCACCATCATCACCATCATCACCATCATCACCATCATCACCATCATCACCATCATCACCATCATCACCATCATCACCATCATCACCATCATCACCATCATCACCATCATCACCATCATCACCATCATCACCATCATCACCATCATCACCATCATCACCATCATCACCATCATCACCATCATCACCATCATCACCATCATCACCATCATCACCATCATCACCATCATCACCATCATCACCATCATCACCATCATCACCATCATCACCATCATCACCATCATCACCATCATCACCATCATCACCATCATCACCATCATCACCATCATCACCATCATCACCATCATCACCATCATCACCATCATCACCATCATCACCATCATCACCATCATCACCATCATCACCATCATCACCATCATCACCATCATCACCATCATCACCATCATCACCATCATCACCATCATCACCATCATCACCATCATCACCATCATCACCATCATCACCATCATCATTATCATAGATAATATGATCATCAGCATCACCCTCATCATCGCTATCATCATTATCATTGTGTCCTAATTGTCCAAAATAATTACTACCCCAACTGTATACCCGGCCATTACTATCGATTGCAAATGAACTGTTTGTATTGCAATAAATTGATTTGATTTTTGTTTCAATTTCTGGAAATTCAACTACAATTGGTTCTGCAATAAAATCGCATGTTTCTTGTTGTTGTTGTTGTTGCTGAAAATCGCACTGTCCTAACCTGTTATCACCCCAACCATAGACAGCGCCCTCAGTGGTCAGTGCCAGTGATTGATAGTTACCGCAAGCGATATCAGTAATAGTTTTATCGGTGAAAAAATCGACAATCGCTGGTCGGCTATAGTCGGCACCACTGGCTGTAGGTCTACCCAATTGATTGTATTGATTGCAACCCCATCATCATCGCCATCACTAACACCGGTAGTAGTAGTAGTAGTAGTAGTCATACATAATGTAAAGTCATATCCGATAATAAATTTCTGGATAGTCTTTCCCCTTTAATTCCCATAATTCTTGATTATCATCAACTGGTTGGTTGTGACCCAACCCCAGTATACCACACTTATTGTCACCTAATGTACAGACAATGTTATCATTGGTCGTAAACCACAAACAATTTCTTTTGCAATAAAATTGTTTGATTTGATTAGTCTGTATATTTCGTATTGAAAAATATTTTCTAATTTTATCAAATAAATCGCACATATTATTAACTAAATTATTATTATTATATTGTTAGTATATAAACAATATATATATATATATATATATTTTTTAGGTATAATAAAATCAAATACAGTACCAAAAAAAAATTTTTTTTTAATAATCAAATATTACATAAATTTGTGACAATATAAATAATATTTGATTATTATTATAAATTTTAAAAATTATTATAATCAACAACAAAAAATTAAAAACAATTCAACAAAAATATAGATAACTTATAAATTATTATTATTATTAATTATAGTTTTTGTAATAATATACAGTGTATAGTATAAAACATATTATTGGGATATTAAAAGAAAAATAATATTAGATATTTAATGGTAATCAATGTTATATTTATAATAATAAACAACAACAAAAAAAAAGGTTATAATTACATCAATAAATATTATCAATGTTAATAAATATTAATAATTATTATTAATATTAATAATAATAACAACTATATTAATGTATTGCTAATTGTAGTCATGTAAACATTAGATAACAAAATAAAACGCTTAAATAAAATTATTGCATAATATATATACAGTATATATAAAATTTATATATAAATTGGCGTCATATTTAAATATATGTTTAATTACTGTATATAAATATAAGTATATTTTATTAGCAAGCTAAATATCTTATTTTTTAAAAACACTTTAAACAAACAAAAACATATATGAAATAAAATTACCAGGGACACACTATACTATTCAAAAATATATTTTTTTTTTGTTTTATTAGTCATAACTTTATATAACTAAATCAAACAATGCCGGCATCTCTGGCCAGTGTATAAAAAATTGACAATTTGTTTGCCAGCAAACAGTCGGGTTCGGCAAACTCGGCTACCCGTCCGCTGTCGAGGACTAACACCCGATCGGAATCCATAATTGTATTGATTCGGTGGGCAATCGTTAGGACAGTCGACGACCTAAACTCTTGACGTATGGTTTGCTGTATGAGTGCATCGGTTTCGACGTCGACGGAAGCCGTGGCCTCATCGAGGATAAGGACACGAGTGTTACGTAACAGAGCCCGTGCCAGACATATAAGTTGTCGTTGACCAACACTCAGGTTATCACCCGATTCGGCGACCGACCAGTCGAGTCCCCGATCACTGGCGGAAACAAACTCTTTGAGATGCGACTGATCTAACACTGTCCACAAGTGATCGTCGGAAAACTGGCCAAACGGATCCAAATTGAAGCGAATTGTACCCGAAAACAGTATGGGTTCTTGAGGTATAATTGTTAGCCGAGAGCGCAACTCGTGTAGAYCTAACCGTCCGATATCTWTACCATCGATGACTATTCGACCCATTGCTGGCTCAATGAGCCTAAACAGAGTCAAAGTTAGCGACGACTTTCCCGCACCGGTTCGGCCAACTATACCTATCTGCGTATCCATAAAATAGAAATATTTAATATTATTTTTTTAGTTTATATATTTTAATATTAATATATATATATATAATAATAATAATAATAATAATACCTTTTCACCCGGCTTAATATCAACATAAATGTCATTGAGTACCAAATCTAATCCAACCCTATATCTGGTGCCATAACCTTCAAATCTAACGGCTCCCCTATCGGGCCAGTTATCGGACAATGGGTAGTCATCATCACATCGATGCCAATCGGATTCACTTTCCAATCGACAGTATTCGTCAATACGTTCGACTGAAACCATATTGTTTTCCAACTGTGCAAACGTTTTGATAAACAAGTCTAAAGTTATGGTCAAAGACATTGCATAGGATAGGGATAGTCCTATATCGCCGCCGGTTAGACTGCCCTTCCCCAGTACGGCAAACAGTGCGGCAAAAAATAGCAAACAATTGCTGAGTGATGTCAACCAAATCTGTAGCCAACTGTTGGCCACAACATTAGGATAGAGACACATCTGATTGATGTCCACTAGTCTATCGGATTCCCGTACAAACCGATCGATACACTTGTAGGCCCTAATGCTGGACACACCGGCCAGTGTTTGACCAAAATGTGAATATATTGGCGATCGGGTGGTCGACTCTAAACTATAATTTTTGCAATTTTATTTGTTTGTATAAAAAGCATTTATAATAAAAATATTTCAATTATTATTATTATTATAAACTAATTGCTTACCGTTTTAGTTGTCGTGAAGTTTTAATGTAAATAAACTATAAAAGTATATTAATAAAATTATTTATTTAAAAATAAGTATATATATATATATTGTATATAAATGTATAGTAAAACCTGGATAATATAGTAAATAACAGCTACCAGTGCCAGTGGTGCCAAAAACAATGGTGTCTTTATAGATATCGTTACTATTATACCAATCAATAATAAAAAGGCGTCTGTAGTTAAACTTTATGTTTGTTTTTGAAAATAACATTTAAATTAATTATATATTGAGAGATATAAGTATAAACTATTTGTATATTATAACAACTAATTATATCAATCAATCAATCAATCAATCAATGAATAAATCAAATTTAAATACTCGATAGTAAACAGTAGCGATCGATCCAAAACATCGGTGTCGTTACCAAATCGGTTCATCAGTCGGCCGATTGGTGTCCTATCGAAGTAATTCATCGGTGAATGCATTACACTCGACAACAGTTGCCGATGTAGACTAGCGGAGGCCCGACGGACACCGTATACGAGAAACAAACGACTGGCGATTGCAGCTATTATTGAGACGGCAATAAAGGCACTAAAAATGCCTAAATAGTAGTAGTAGTAGTAGTCGGTAGCTATAGTACTGCCCGATGAGCCGTCCGATGATAATTGTCTGCTACTACTACTACTACTACTACTACTGGTGCTGATACTGTCAATATTGTTGCTAAATATTGATAACCAAAACGCTGAACCATATGTTAAGGCATTGTATGCGATTATCGTCGATAGGAAGCCCATTGAACAGTACGGTCCTAACTGTTTGGCATATTTCATATATAGCTGCGATATATGTATATAAAGTATATTATTTATTTATTTTTGTAAAAAAAATTACTGTGTGTTTGTAATGTATTGTGAAAATATGTTAGTAAATTATTTATATAATACATATTTATATAATATGTATTATTAAATGTGTTACTATATACTGTATATACCGGTATATAGAAAATTAGATAAATTATGATGATAGTGGGGGGGGGGTACATACACCAAATTTAACCTGGCCAATTTCTACCGTTTCCATATCAGTCAATGGATTTGTAATGTTGTTGTTAGCTTTAATAATAATATCAATTGAATCACTGTTATTATTATTATTATTATTATTATAATTAACATAATTATCAATTATTGTATTAATTTCATAATCGATATTATTATTAGTATTATCTGGATTTTTATCAATACTACTACTATTTTCAGCTAAATATTGTTGAATCAAATCGGAAAAATAACAATCATTTTCCAATAGATTATCATAAGTACCGACACTTGTAATTATGCCGTCTTTTATGACAACAATTAGGTCGACATCGGGTAATACAAACAATTGATTTGTTACTAATAAACGGGTTTTATTGTTGAGAATACCGGTTCTTGAGTCGAGTACTTTACTGACAATATGTTTGCTAACATGACTGTCCACTAGATTTTGAAAAAATATTATGTTATTTATTATGCTTATTATATTATGCTATAACTAAATACCGGCCGAAAGTGGATCGTCGAGTAGGTATAGATCGGCACCGGAATAGACAGCTCGGGCTAAACTGACTCTTTGTTTTTGACCGCCACTCAGATTAACACCTTTTTCGCCGATCTCTGTCTCGTCGCCGTCCGATAGCTGTCGTAAGTCCTGTCTGAGTGAACACGTGTCGAGCACCCGGTCATACAGTTCCCGATCCATGTCATTACCAAACAATATATTCTCTTTGACCGTACAGTTCAATATCCAGGCCTGTTGTGGAACGTAGGCTACCTTAATGTCCGACCGTATGTTGACTTTACCCTTACTATCACTTATCAGATCCATATCCCCAAACAGGGCCGACATCAGTGAACTCTTACCGGACCCGACACTGCCTACTATTGCCACAAACTGGCCATCAGTTACATTGAGATTAATATTATGTAAAATCGGTTGACTATTATTATTATTAGTATCGGATTCCCAATTAAACGATGCATTTTCAACATTAATCAAACAATTATTGTTTGATATATTGTTTTCAATATAATCCAAGTGTTTATCACTATTGAGAAACTTTTCAATACGTTTGAATGATACGTAAATCTAAAAATAAAATTGATTTTTTATATTAATATTATTAKTAGTAGTAGTAGTAGTAGTAAACAATAATTGTTATCAATACATAAATATAACTATAAATTTGTTTAAATAATTTTAATATTACTGTATAAAAATATTTTACAATAATGATTATTAAACAAACAATAATTATAAGCTATAATTAAAAATTTAAAAAATTGTATATTAGAATTAAATACTAACTAAAAAATAATATATATATATAGAAAATAATTAAATAATAATTTAAGTAAATTATAGTAATAGTTACCAAGGTAATTGCATTAAACGATAATGGTAAAACAAACATTATATTTCCAACCAAATTAAACAATGATTGCGATACAAATATTTTGGATGCATTTAATTGGTTGAGTTGGTCACCCTGATTGATGGCAACATACGTACAATAGGTAATCAATTGGACAATTGTTGGACTGGTAAGGCTTAATACATTATAAACGGTAACCGATTGGCCATATCTAACAAATTTGTTCAACTCTTTGGTCCTAATTTTTTCAACTAAACCCATAAACGACTCCTCCCAGGCATACAACTGGTGTGCGTATGATTTTGATTCAAAAATGAAAATTAATTAATTAATTAATCAAAAAAAAAATATAAATAAAATTAATTAATTAAATACTTTTAAAATTTTAATTCCGTTCAATATTTCGTTCATCAAGTTTTGACGTTTGTCTTTGATTGACATCAATTGATTGGTCAATAGTACAGTATATAAACCGTTTAAAACATTGATGATAAGCGATACAAACATATAGGATAGACCGGCAAATGCGGCCACACCTAACTGTAGGTATAACAGATAGACGGCTATTATAAGTTGAATGGGATTTGATAGTACTCTAACCAGATTAACGGATTGTTCTGATATATATATATATCAATAGTAAATTTTAAAAAATATTTTTTTTAATTTAAAAAAAACAAAAATTAAAATATGTAATTAATATGAAAGAGATAGTAAGTGAGAGATAGATAGATAGATAGATAGATAGATAGATAGATAGAGAGAGAGAGAGAGAGAGAGAGAGAGAGAGAGAGAGATTTTATTTATTCATAAACTTTTAATTAAAAAAAAAGTTAAGTCTTATTTAAATTTTTTTGCCATTTTACCCCCCCCTATACCCACCCCCTGAAATCGTAAACCTTTCGCAACCCTGATTTGATATACAGTATATATATATACTTATAGAAAAAGTAATTGATAAGTTAAAAAAAAAGTAAAATATATTAATATAAATATTAATTAATTAATTAACCGCTAATTCGTTGGCAATCAATGGCCATAATGTTGACTATTTCACCGGTAGGTGTGCGCCGTTTGGCACTATTGCTCAGCACTAGTGACTTGCGATAGACGGCTGATGTTAGACACGATTTAATACGTAAACCTTTAAATAATTCAATAAAATAAATAAATAATTTTTTATTATAATAAAAACTTTAAAAAATAACTTAAATATTTTTTTTTATTATTAATTATTATATATACATGTAGCACCGATATACTCGCTAGACATTGCCTGGACAATGGCAGCGATAACATTGATGGCCAACAATAGTACAGTATAGACATAGCCGTGCCATTGGGGAGCACCGGGATCTTCAATAAACTCAATCATTAAACTGTAAATAATAATATGAAAAATATAATTATATGCACAAAAAAATCAAACTGAATATATTATTAGTTATTATAATTACTATTTTTAGTAAGTATGTAAAAAGTTAGTTTTTTTTTTTTAAAAATAAATAATATAAATAAAATAAACAAGCACATACTGTAGAATAATTGGCGATMCCATTTGCAAACAATACGATAGTATACAAAACAATAGTGACCAAATAATTTTTGGTAAATATAGTTTAGCAATGATGGCAAACAAATTTCTAGTATTACCATGTTTAATTTTTTCATTATTATTATTATTATTATTATTTTGCTTATTGTTACTATTTATAATTTTTTTATCCAATGATGATGATGATGATAATGGTGATGGTGACCATTGTCTCGAAAAACGTCTATAATTATAGACAGTACTGTCCTCCCGGCGCAGTGCCCATAGATCGTYAAACTCTAGAGACTTGTTTAGCCAACCTTTCAATAGTAGCCGATTCAYCCACTGGTAGGTTATGCGCGACGCATAGGATGCGCCCGATTTGGGACAAACAGTATGTTTGGTCCATAAGTCGCGGTCAGTATCCATATAACAGTTGTTGCTATTTTCTGGTGGCAATTGATCGGCAAATGTACAGTAGATTAATAGACARACAGTTAGCGCAAAGTTTATACAATAGAGTATGAATTCATAGTTTCGTAGCATATCTTGTGTAGCATATGTAGCCATTGATAGACCACCTAAAACAGTGTCCAGTATTAGGTATAACCAAATCCAACCACTGGTCGTAATACCGGACAATCGGTGAACGAAAAACACAAAACAAAGGGCTAGTCTTGTGATTGTTTGTACAGAAACGGCTATAATGTATGCCGTACTGGGACTGTCCGACCATTGATATTTGCGGCACAAACTTAATGCTATCATTGCTATTAGGATACCGGTGCTTGAAATGGCTACAAACAGTCTACTAGTGTTATATAAGTTCCATTTGATTAGATTTTTATTGATACCGGTGCGGACACTGTTGTATTTGTACAATAGATACGGTATGTATAACCACATGAATAGACTGGGTATCCATACAAACCACGTATTCAGCATACATGAGCTCAGTGATGGTCTGCTAGTAAACCATACAATTTGTTTATCCTATAATAAAAACATATTATTATTTTATTATTATTATTAAATTTTATTTTCTATTTTATTAATATATTATTTTAATTATTATTATTATTTTAATGCTTACCAATAGTTTATCATTACATATATTTTCAAACATTGTTAAATATTTTTTGAAACTATTTGTTTAAATAAATATTATTAATTTTTTCAACAACAAAAAAAATCAATTTCATTTTAATTCATACAATAATTAAATTAGAAATAATATTATTAATTAAATTAAAAATTTTTATTACAATGACAACAGCATAATTGCTATAAATATAAAAATTGTTTAATCACATTGAATGAGCATTAAATTGAATTTATTGTAAATTTAATTTACACAGTATTATCATAAAAAAAAATAATTTGTAATATATATATATATGTAAGACATATGCGAAAAATTAACACTAAACAATAAATACTATTTAAAAACCAGTTGAAAATGCTAGAAAGCATTATCTAAAACAAATTTTTATTACGCAAATTACTTTTTATTATCATATAAACAAAATATTTACTCATGATAACCATTAGACCATATGAGTCATATTACTAAACTATTAAGTGACAATTTTTATGATGCAATATTTTTAGTGATGCAATATTTAAGATGCAATATTTGTCGTTATGGAATATATATGATGCAATATTAATGGATATTTATCCACCATTTTATAAAAAAATTATTGTTATAACTTAACATTGTAATTAACTGCATTAAGATGTTTAACTTACATTTTGACAACTAAACCTTAGTTTTTTTTTAATTTATCTGTTCCTTAAGAGATATCAAAATTTTATTTCTTATTCCTATAACTTACTTTTGATGCTTTATTCAAATTTAAACTTTAAATTTTTTTTACTAATTTTTTTGTACTTTGGCCGCCATTTTTTCTATGTTCTTGAAGAGATATCAAAATTTTAATGTTGATCCCCTATACCTTATTTTTGATGATCTAACCGAATCTGAAATCAGAATTTCAAAATTCGAAGTTCGAAAACCAACACACACACACACACACACACACACACACACACATAGAATCCATAAAACAAATTTTAAAAATTTGTTTGAAAAACATTTCTCAATATATCTATTTTGTTTATAATGTGTTGTCCACTATAGAGACAACTGCTTTTAATTAATGTTTTATATTTTCTCCCTATCAATGCTTATTTGTCATTTAAAAAACAAATTTTCAAAAAGTCATAAATCTAATACTTCCCGGATAGCGATTTATACCAAAATTGATTTCAGAGTAGAAGAGCTATAAACAAATAATAATTAATTGGGTACAAACTTTGTACAACCAAACACTAATGAGTAGAGCATTTATTTCACAAATAACTTATATTTTTAGTGATTAAAGATATTAACAAATAATTAGATATAAAAGCAATTGATTGAAAACTAATAATTATATCAAAAGTTTTAGTCACATAAACACTTATAACAACATATTTTTAAAGGTAGTTATATATTATCAATTATTAGCACATATTTCGCATATAACTGTAAAATAATAGTTGAATTACATTTTTATTATGTATTATTTGTGTTGAAATTTAAAAAAATAGTATTTTATATGAATGCAAATTTATTTGTTATTTTTGTAGATTAATAACATAATATTTATGATATATTTTCAACAATTTCCTAATGTCTACTAAAAGACAATAGGAGTGAAAGCATTATTTGCATTAATTAAAATTTATACCAAAATTTTAAAAGCTAAATATTTTTATATTATGTTTTTTAAGTTTAAATAAGAAAAATATAAAATATTGTTTTATCATTAATTGTAACACAAAATTACTTAATTGTAATTGTAATTTTAAATATAATCACATATTTAGACTTTTCAAAACAATTATAAGCACCTATTTTTACAATTTTAAGCAAATATAGTCACATATTTTCATGTTTTAAAGCAAATATTTTATTGAATAAAACCAGAATTTTAGTCACATATATCTAAAGTTATTACTAATGAGTTACAGACCTCCAAACATGTACCCAGTGTTGCATCAAGACTCCAGTCCTCCAATGGAGTACTAATTGCAACAATGAATCTGACCTCTGATTGGTAAGTACCGGAGCCATCAACTTCAACATAATTGAGTATAAAACCAATCATTAATGAGATCCCCATATGAGGATACAGGAGTCACTTTGAGATCTACTCATTTTTATCTGTTTTATCCTGTTTTTTACATTCAATAATTGTTAACAATTACTATATATTAATCTATGTATTTAATCCTATTGTTTAATTAAAATAATAAATTACAAACTTATATTAATCCAATAACTGGTGTCTCAATTCATTTTACCACCATTAACATCATCATCATCTACAATCAACTAATAGACTAGTGGATCAACTAGGCGACTGCACATCAAAATACTACAGTATTATATAATAATACTAACAATAAAACTGCTAGTCTTATATATATATATATAAATAATTGATTAATTAATTTACAATAAACTACATGAATTATAATAATTGAATTTTAAATTGTATTATTTGTTTAAAAAAATGCATTTTAATAAAATAATTTTTGTATTGTTTTATTGTTTTAAATGTGTTGTTTTACTTACTTAAACGGTAAAACACACACACATTTAATTAACAACTTATTTATAAAAATAAAATACAATTATTGTTAATTATATACATAATAAATTATATTATACTATAAATTAAATAATAAGATATTTTTTCCACTAAATTATTTATAAGTCAATTTTAAAACTATTAATACTATTAATATAATTTAAAAATTATTTTTTTTGAATTAAATATATAGTATACAGTATATACAGTATATAATTTATAGTTATCTTAACAAATTTTATTTTAAAAAAATATTGATTAAATTTACGATTAATTTAGTATTTTAATTGAAATGTATTGTTTTGTTTATCTGATTAATAGTAATGTCGTTTAAAGTGTAAAAATGATTAATTAAAAAAATTCATAATTAATATATATACAGTATAATTGTTAAAAATACTAAAACAAAAAAAAACAATCTTTAATTTTTAACTTTATGTATTAGTTTTTTTTATTAATTATTAATTATCCAGATTATGATGTCGTTTAGGCTAAATAAAAATAATTTAAATAATTAAATAAATTTAAATATAATTACTATATTATCATATATTTCTAAATAATATATATATATATATATATATATATATATATATATATATATATATATATATATAATACCTGTTTGTTGTTATCAATGCTTTCATCATTACTGTCCCTATTATTTAATTGTCTTTTATTAGTAATAGTATTATTATTATTATTATTAGTCAGCACTTGGTGTGTATCGGCTGTAGTCGACCGGTTGTGTTGGTTATCATAATTATTATCATCTACTGGTGCCAATTGATAACCACCACCACCAACACTGGTTCCTTCACCAAATTCATTATTTAGGTTTACTACAAAATAAAGCACCGGTAGTTAATAATAATAATAATCACATTTATCTGTCATATATTTGACTATCATTTTTTTTAAAAAATTTCTTTTATTACCCTCTTTTTTATATTCATCTGTGTTATCGGTGTCGGTGTCGGTGTCGATTTATTTTTGATTCTCTATGCAATTCTAAACGTTAAAAATTTTTACCTAAATTTTTTTTAACTTTAGCCGCCATTTTCTCCATGTTCCCGAAGAGATATCAAAATTTTAATGAATGTACCCCCCTATACCTTATTTTTGATGATATAACCGAAACAATACTAACAAATATTATAAAGATAGGTGCAAAAAATATGGGAATAAACTAATTGTGTTTAAATTTAATAGTTATTGATTTAATAAATTAAACATTTATTGCAGATTAAATTAATTATTTATATATAATTATAGAATAATTACAATTAATAATTAATTGTAACCCGATTGGCCGCAAAACCATTTTCTATTCGGGTATTTCTAATGAAAACATACAGAAAAACATTATGTCTAATCGGGAGTATGACTTCCCGAATAGAAAAGTGTATTGCGGGTAATCGGGTTAAAATTAATTATAATTATTTTGATATTATATATATTTATAATTTGATGAGCAATAAAGTTTAATTTATTAAATCAATAAATCTTAATTTTATTCCACAATTAGTAAATTCCCATTTTTTTTGCATCCATCTTTACAGTAAACAATTTTTTAATGTGTGTGATTTGTTAACACCCATTATTATGTACATCAATGTTTAAATTAATTAATGTTAAAAAAAACAATTTAATCGCAATAAATAAAAAATGATTTCAATTGGCGTTATATTTAAAAAAAATATTTCGAATAGTTAGCTAGTTAATTTTAAAGGTTATAGTTAATAGTAGCAAGCTAAATAAAAATAATACTAATAGTTTTATTTGTGTCAATTTAAAAAAAAATTAATAAAATAAAATTACACATTTTATATTATTGAAAATATTTTTTTTATTATTAATATTTTATAATTAACTTTTTATATAACAAATTATTGATGATTATTTATTTAAATTTTTTTTTCCATACAAAACTATTGATGTGTAATATTTGAAAATTATTTTTTTGATACAAACAAAAATAATCAGTCAATTAATTGTAATAATAATAATATTAAATAACAACAAAATGATAACACAATGTGTGTGGTATGTATGATATTACTGTATTATATATCATATATCACAGTATTAATTAATTAATTAATTAGTTTACAATTAAACTAAAATAAATTTTAATTTATAAGTTTTAACTTGTATTATAAGTAAAAAAAAATAATTGTATTTTTAATAAAATATTTTTGTATTGTTTTGTATATTACCGGTAAATATATTTTTTTTACTTAAACGTAAAAAAAACATTTACCGATACTTACGGTTAAAAAAATACAATTATCGTAATTATACACAAAAAAAAACAAAAATTATTACAACAAATCAAATATATTTTTTTTAACACTAAATTATTTTCAGTCAATTTTGTCTGATATTAATATATTTAGAAATCATAATTTTTTTTTGAATCATAAAAAATATATGTATAGCTGTCTCAACTTAAATAAAACAAAAAAAATAATGAGTAAATTAACGATTAATTGGTATTCAAAATCCATTGTATTGTTTGTTTGATTGATTGACTAATAGTAATCGAGATTCAGATGATGTCGTTTATACTATAAAATTAAAAATACATAAAAAACAAAAAAAGAAAACAAATAAACAAAAAATTTACTGATAATAATCATTTGATTGATAAGCACCGGTAGGTGACCACCGGTGGTGATGATTGTAATCACTAATAACAACCTGTTTGTTAGGGCTATCGTAGTCGCTGACAAGAGATCTTTTATTGGTAGTATTTTTCGCTGGACTCCTGTAGTCGATATCGGCCGCCGATTCGGTCAATTGGTCATAACTATCGGTCATAACACAACCACTGGTACTACTATTATACCGTTGAATGGCTTCCGATATCTTGGAATTGATGTACAAATAGCTAACTGTCAGTGAGGGTCGTTTGGTTCGTAGGACTACCAGTGCGTCGGTTAGTCGACTTTCATCGGGTCTATCAATGCTAAACAAGTAGGAGTTGGTAACGTTTGGTTCAGTTGTTATCAGTGATGGTATGATATTAACAAATTCCAGACAGTATTTAACTATACGGGCCTTACAGTCGACGGCCATATCATAGGCGCCGATATTCTGTGTATAACAACAACAAAAAAAAGAGTTTACCGAAAATATTTAGTAAATTTTTTATTAAAAAAAATGTCCACAATTTCAATACCTGTGCGCAAAATATAGTCCAATAGCGTAGTACATCCTCGCACTGATACGGACGCCACTGTTCGACCAATTGTTGTCCGTGTTTTACCCGAAATCCTGTTAACGACATAACTTCGGCAACTTTCCGATAGAGACCGGTATTGGTATCCATTCGACAGTGTTTTTGTAGGGCTTTGATCACTTGAACCATCAGATTCAAGCACTTAAGTTCATCAATACGGCCGACCAGTTCCAGTTGTAGACTATTTAGCTTCAAATTGGTATTATCTGAGTGTATCTGATTGTCGATAGTCTGAACCAATTGGTGTTCATCAGCTGATTTGACTCTACCCAGACATCGGACAAACTTTTCACGGGCTTTGGTTAACAGTTTATAGCGGGCATTGTTTGTCGTAAATATGATCTGATTGTAGGCCAAAAACAACGGGAACTGTATCTTAGCCGATTCAAAGTCACGGCAATTGATTAATGTCTATATAATAGACAAAAAAATAATTTTACGGTAATTATCGGTAAAAACAAAATGTCAAAAAAATTTTTTTACTTTTAAGTATAGTTCGGTAAACCTATGATAGGCCGACTCCCACCAGTCGATGGACTGGGAGTTAAAACCTTGAGTTAGCATACGATTGTGTACAACAGTACACCATTCGTAGGTTGATATCAGATCGCAATACGACTGCGACAGTTGCAAAATCACGCGCATCATTGACTCGTATTTTTTGACGTCCGATTCGCACGTAATCAACGGTTCGTTCAGCGAATCGGATAGCGATGGTGTCGATAGGACTGTACGATCATCAGCTGCTGCTGATGCTGAGGAGGAGGAGGCACTGGTAGATGATAATGTTGTCGATGATGATGATGCAGATGATGATGGTGGTAGTGGTGTTGTTGGACAAAGAGTCGATTGAAAAACATTAGTAATAGTAGACGATTGATGTAATGATGGTTTAAACTTTTTGGCGAAACGTTTGTCGACTATTCGAAAACTATTAACAAATTTATGAATTGGCGGCGATTTTTGGTGGTCACTGGAATTTGTCGGCGATTTTCGGTGGTCACTAGATTTCTGGTCACTACTAGTAGTCGTAGATTTTTTCGAATATTTTTGTTCACCTTTTTCGATGTCATCCACACTATTATTCGACCCTTTAGTCGATGATTTGTCCGCTGTTTTTGACGACTTTTGGCTATCAGAGGAGGTCGTCGACGCCGTAGCCGACGCACCGGTAGTTGACTTATCGGACGGTTTGATAATCTCGTCGATAATCAAACAATCGTCGTCTTGTTTATAACTATTCAATTGCTGAACCTTTTGAACCGAACCGACAATTGTATCGAAATTTTTTTCATTTAATCTCAATCTTCGCTGAACTTTACAGCCTTTCAGTGATCGTCTGTCAATTGATTCCAGTATTTTCGTAATCTTGACATTAGAGTAGAAAACAGCGTCCAATCGTATAGTTGTTATAATATTCAGAAATTCAAACAAATATTCGGTAACTCTATAGTAGTGTTTCAATGCTTTCTTATAGCTATCTAAATGCTGTCCACAAAAAATTAAAAGTATACAAAAAAATACAAACAAAAATATTATTAGTTATAATTAGGGTTCGGTTAATTCCCCCCCCCCCCATCCACAGGAAACATAAGGGAACTGTTAGGAAAATATGTAATAATTGAAGGGATTCTGATCCTAATCCTAGTTATAAAAAACAACAACAAAATAGTCAAACAAACAAAAAAAATACAATAAAAACTCTCAGAAAACCTTATCATAAAATATAATCCACGCTTTGAGCAGTTGTTCGCAATCGTCGGCCGATCGATAGACACACGAATCGGCCAACAGATTCGATACTTTAACATAAAGTCCCGGTTCTTTGTAATGGCTTTTCAAGGCTGCGATAGCCTGAGCTATCAAATTGAATGTCTTGATTGCCAATACATTGTTTTCCACTTTCATTTGTAATTCATTGTAATCTTTGCGATATTTTTCCTGTTTCTGTTGCGAACTGATTGTCTTTTTCAGTGTTTCCAAGTCGTCCGCTTCGATCGGCGGCAATGTATTGGCCATTATTTCCTGAGACCACTTTCGTTCAAAATTTTTGACAAACAGATGTCGACCGGCCATCAGTTTACGGTATCGAGAATTTCGTTGATTAAAGTAAAGTGTGTTAAACTCGGAAAAGTAGACGAACTGACTCTTGGCTTCGGCAACGGTCTGATACTTGTGTAGAGACTGTGAGATACAGAGAAAAAAACAATTAAAAATTTTATCTTCATTTTCATCTATTAATCAATCAATCAGTTAATATTACATCAATATATTTATCGACATATAGTTTGTAACACTTTTCCCAAACACATGGATCATAGTTTTTGAAGCCTTTCGAAGTCATTCTCTGGTGTATCACATGAAGCCATTCAAAGTCAACAATCAGATCACAGTTATTGGATGAATAGTCTTTGATTACGTCCAAAAATAATGAGTATTTTTCGCGAATTTCGTTATTCAATTCGCTAATCAATAGATGTTCACTACTACTACCACCACTAATGGTGACGGCACCGGTAGTTTGAGGTACATTTTTTGTCGACGATGATGGCGGCGGTGGTGATGGTGTCAACCGATCCTTATTATTGTTAGTATTATTCTGACGAAAACAAGGTTTTGCCATTGAAATGTTCTGTTTATAATCTTTGAGTCGTGGATCAGATGATGATGTGGAGGAAGATCGCGAATCACTGGTTTGACGCTTATTATTATTATTATTATTCTTGTTGTTCAACAACGGATAATGAGGTATTCGCCGCGGAGGATATACCGGTAGTCCCGAAGCCATTAGATGTAGCTTATCGTTTGCCATTTGACGATTAGATCTGGGATCTCTCAGATGCGGCGCCGGTGTTGGAGGTGTTGGCGATGACGGTGACGGTCGTACTAATCCGTGGTGACTGTGCGGCGGCGGCTGCAGTACTACTTGTACTGGTGTTATCACTTGCGGCTGAGATTGTAGTACGGCTTGCGGCCGAACGGTAACTTTGATGGCCGAACCAGATTTGATTGGTTCGTCAGCCGACATAATATCAAAGTATTTCTTGTAGTGACTGCTGAACAGCTATAAAAACAGATAAAAACAAAGACATCATTAAAAAAAAGCTGATCCACTAATAGCTATCATATGATATATCTGAAGACAAATCAAATGCATGAAAAAAATACCTGAAACTGATGCGACTGAAAGTCGACGGCAATATCGAAACGGCCATCGATTACGGGTATAATCTGTTGGATCTGTTTCAAGATTGGATCAAATCTGGATTCAGATTTACAACCCGCTGGCCGTTGAATGTCAAACACTTGGCCTTTGTATAGCCATTCACCGAATTTTTGGCCACTCATATGAGTTGCTGTTTTTTGGTGGTGGTGATGGTGGTGATGGCCACTTGAGTTAGTATTATTATTATTATCACTTAGCAGAGCTGATCCCACTTTCAACTAAAACAAACAAACAAAAAAAACTAAAAACTAAACACCAATTACTGTATAATATCAATGAGTTGTTTGTTGTTTTGAATTACATTTTTTTATTACTTAATGTTTACATTAGATAAACATTTATTAATTACAATACTATTATATTATTGATGTCATTATTATTATTATTATTATTGTATTAATAATTTTTAAGCGCTATTTTTGCATAAAAAAATTCAATACAAACATTTCAATGACAATTATAATATATATATACATATAGTGTATAAACGAGTAACATATGGAGTCAATATGTTATGTATGTACTGTAGTAGTAATAGTATTAAAAAAATATATGCGTTATTGAAGTATAGAATTTTTTTGCTGTAATTTTAATATAGTATCAAAAAATTGTGATTATATGTACAGTACAGTAAACTGTAGAAAACACTAACATCAAAAAGTACCTATTTTGTAGTACACTATACAATTAATTTATAACTATTTTATATAACAACAACAACAAAATTAATCGTAACGTTGTTTTTGTGTAGAGTTTCTGTTAATATTATATGTATAATAATAATGTCATACATATAGTACAGTACATACACCACAACAACAATAATAATAATAATAATAATAATAATAACAACAAAACAACATTGCATTCAATATATTGAATGATATTTTTATTTTAATTATTTTTTTTATTGAATTTTAAAGACAACAACAAAAAACACATGTATTTTCAGACATCACTGTTGTATCGCTGACCGCCAACCGATCGATCGATCGATGACATCGACACCCGTAATGGCCAACAATAATAACCCGCCGACGGCGGCGCCGACCATTAACGCCGAAGTCGAAGAACTGGCCTATTATAGGAAATACGTGGACCTATTGGAGACATATAGGAAATGGTTGATCATATTTACCGATAATGCCGGCGGCGGTGGTGGTCATCACCATCATCTGATCCAATTGAATGTTGTAATGGATTTGGAAAAACAGTACACAAAGATTGTCAGACCCGATCATCAATTGGTCCATAAGATGATGAACACCATCGGTTGCGGCAGCGGTGACGGTGGCGGCGCCGCCACCACCACTACTGTTGCTTCCGCTACAGAAACCAATCGATTTCGGCCATCAAATGGTCACCAGATGATGATTGACGACACGCTTACCGATGTGGCCAACACAGTCGTCACCACAAATAGTCCTACAAAAACCATTGATCAGTTGTCGCCGACAATTGATATCGTCGACAGTATCGGTGTTGATGATAGTGGTGGTCAACAAAAGACTGGATCCGCTGTTACTATTAGTAATGATGTGGTGATGGATGATGAAGACAATACTGTAATTGTTGTACCAATCATGCAAACAGTCGATGAAGTGGTCACTACTACTATTACTACCAGTCCTATCACTACTACAACGGCTATCACAGCAGCCGCGGCGTCCACTACTGTCGCCACCATTAGTAAAGCAGCTCAACAACAATCTTCGTCATTATCATCGCCAACGATGATGTGGCCGATAACGACTAGCCATTTGTCGTCGCCGTTGTCCTCATTTCAATCGATTAGCAAAAGTTTTAATAAAACAACCGATAATTTTACGACAACCACAACAACAACATCAATGGCTAAAACAAAGACAACTGCAACGACTAAAACCGTCGATAGTAGTAGTGGTGGTTATCGGCAGTCTTTGTCGACTAAAAGTAGTGGTTCGACTGCGACGGTATCGGTAGACAACAAAACAGATGACCATCGACGGTACCAATCGTACAACAATAACAACAAACGGTTGACTACAACATCTACTACTACTACTAGTAGTAGTAGTAATAGTCGAAAGTCTGCAACAGTTAGACCATTGGTGTTAAACAATTTTGTAACCAATAATAATAATGATAATAGGATTAATACCACTACTCATGAGTCATCGTCACTGTTGTCGCCGTTGTCGGACAATCGCAGTACTGGCGAAAGTACCGACAGTCTGGACGATATCGACTGGAATAACGAACCGTTTGGCTCTGATATTGCCGCCGCCGCTGCCAAACGTATTGAAACACCTGTTGCCGATACAGTGTTGTCGATGAAAAAGTCACCGCCGATGACAACGGTAACGAAAAAAGTTTTCAACAAAAATGATGGTACTGTTAGAGTAGTATCGTCATCAACATCATCACCGCTGGCCATCAGTAGTGCTACTACTGCTAATAGGTCTACTGTGACGACCACTACCGCCAACAAATCATCAGCAACATCACCACCGGTGGTGGTCAGCAGCACTAGTAGACCGCCAGTGGCCAACATTTCAGCCAACACTAACAACAAAACGCGGACGAAGCCGGTGCCACCAGTTATCACTTCATCATCAGCTTTGGTCAGCAGCACAATCACCACTACTACTGGTGGTAGTAGTAGTAGTAGTAATACAGTCAATCTTACCATTACTACCAATACCAACACCACCACTGGTGGATCTGCAAACAAATTGTCGGCAAAAATCGCTAGCACTGCCATAAAAACAATAACTACTACTACCGGTAATACTGGTAGTAGTAATACAGTCAATCGTACCAATACTAACACCATCAATGTACGATCGGCAAACAAATTGTCGACAAAAACAACCGTCACCCGTAGTATTCCTAGCACTGCCCTATCAACTACTACTGTTCCTACTACCGGTACTACAACTGGTCCGCTGCTAAACGTTAACAAAAGTGCTATTACCTATAGTCGACTTAGTAGTAGTAGTAGTAGTACTACAAAGTGCAATGAATTGCCACCGATGACGACGGCACCGCAACCATCACCACCAGTACCTCCAATTGGTCACAACATTACTAGTATTAATAGTGGTTTAAAGCCATTAGTGTCCAGTGGTCAGTACGTATCTATGGTCGATACCGACGATCCATTGATTTGTGGTAACTAATTGTCTTAAATGTCTATTATTTATATCTATTTTATTAATTTAGTAAATAATAAAATGTTTGTTTTTTTTTGATTTATTTTTCCAGCGATTCACCAAAATATCGGTTTACAGACAGCCGGCACAACGGCTGTCGGCTATAAATGCAATTACAATGACTGTACGTTTATGTCGCCGTCGATGGACACCACCCGACAGCACACTCATCGTCATCTCGCAGACAATCCGTTTATATGCGATCTGTGCGACAAAGCCTATCCGTTTGCCGACTATGAACGCCATCAGCTATTGATTCATCCGCAATGCGGCAACAAATTGTTAGTCCGATGTCGTTACCGTGGTTGTCACTACTGGACCGGCAGCAAAGATCGGCTGGTTATGCACTGTAATGCTCAGCACAGCAGCGGCAAAGATGATGAAACTGTTGGCGACTGTCGACGCGAATCGTTAAAAACTTGTTTGAAACCAGTCATCACTGCACAGTCCGATAGGACAACAACAACAACACCAACACCTGTTGTTAGCCGAGAATCAGTTGTCGACGGGTTAGTCAATCATAAAAAGTTTAGACCGAATTCGGCTGTAAAATCGCCACCAAAACCAAGCATTACTAAACCACCGAAGATGACATATTCACGTAATAAGTCGTCGATGTCGTCGTCATTGTCATCACCGATGATGAGGATGATGGTTAGCACCACTGGTATTACTAATCTAACTATTAATACTACTAGTATTACCACTTCTCCTATTACCGCTGCTACTACTACTGCTTCTACAACTACCGGTTCTGTTTGCTCTACCACAGCATCTGCAGCACCACTAAAACAGTATCGAACTATATTACCATTAAATACTACCTCAACAACAACAACAACAACATTGACTACCAGTGCCGACACCACTACTATCGCAACCACTGAGAGGTCCGTCCGCTGTCAGCACTCGGGTTGCGAACTACTGTTCAAAACGACATTCACAATGAAAGACCACTACAATCGTATTCATCGATCGGATACCTATGAATGCCAATGGCCAGAGTGTACGGCGGGTCGTTTTAGCTCACGTCGCGAGCTCAAGGTTCACGTTGACCGACATATGGACAAACAGAATACGTTAGGCAAACTTAAGTCGGCACTGGCCAGTGGACAGTATACACTACGGCCGAATAGTTCAAATCATAATAACTGCAATAAAATGTATTCCGGTAAGTGTGTGTGACTGACTTCAATGACAACTCCCACCCACCCTTCCATACAATAAGCTAACTGTCCATTGATTTTTTAATTAGCCGTTATCGCTGCGAATAGCAATGAAAAATTGGGCTTCAAGTGCAAGCATGGGGACTGCAATTTTAATCATATCTACCAGTACCTGATGAGACAACATTACGCTACACACTACACCAAAACCAACAACAACACCAACAATGGTAGTCAATACCAGTGCGATATTTGTGGCAAAACGTTTGCCCTTAAGATCTATGTTAGACACCATCAGAATAAATATCATCGAAAGCTAAGACAGAAGTCGAAGTCGAAGCCGAGACTTAAGAATAATTCCGATAAAACAATTGTTGTACAAAACAATAGAAAATTGCGGCCAAAAACCAGTAGTCGTAGTCATCGATCATCGGCTCAGAGACCACTTGCAGAGTCACAAACTACTACTACCAGTGCCAACAAAGTTACTAATAATAATAATAGTAATAAAAGAAAACGGTATTCATTGCGTACAAAACTAAAGCCAAAAATACCGGCAACAGTGGTATCGTCGTCGTCACCGAAACAACAGAGTAGTCCGAAAAAAGTGGACAACGATAACGGTGGTGGTGGCGGCGGCTACAGCTGGAAGTGTCGACACAATAACGGCAACTACAGGTGCTCCAAGACATTCACCAGCAGTGCATTGCTTGAAAAACATAAGACAGAGGAACATATGATGAATAGTAGTCCAGTCATGGTATCATCGGTTCCGCCGCCGCCCACTCCGGCACTGGCATGCAATTGGAAGGGCTGTACAAAACGTTTTGACAGCCAAACAGAACTTCATTTACATCGACGTTCGCATAACCGTAGCTCACGACTGACCTATCAGTTGCGTACCGATAAACCGTTGGCCCGATCGCGACAGCTGTCGTTGGCTGACCCGAAACGGTCGCCGTCATCATCATTATCGACGGCGGCGGCGGTGGCGGGAACACTGAAGGGCCGATATCGTTGTGATTACGAGGGCTGCAATAAAAGTTATGCATTCAAAGAGACACTCTATTTACACTCGAAAAGCCATAAAAATAATAACTATAATCTGAGAAAATAGTTACCAATAATAATATGTCTTATAGTAATAATAATAATAATAATTAATGTTTTTATTAATTTTTTTTTAAAATAATTATTTTATGATTTTTTCTTGTATCTCATTATAGAATTCATTACACATTTTCTACAACAAAAATAATTTATAATATTGTTTTAGTATTTTATTTTATTATATTGTTTTTTTTTTTGATTGATTGATTAGACTTATAATTTTTTAATTAGTATTATAATATTTTTTTAGTTTGTTTTTGCAATACATATATTTTATTATTATTATTATTATTAATTAAATAAATACAGTAGACAAATAAAATGTATTAATTTTATATACAGTAATCATTTTAACTGTATTTACTAATAATGTTACAGTATATATATATATATTGATAATATAAAATTTATTATTATTAAAAAAACAATTATATTTTTAGATTTACAATTACCACTCTATAGATCTCATTGATTGTTATAAATATTGTCAAATTGTTATATATATATTTTTATATTGAATACATAATAAACATTAAAATTAATTAAATAATTGAATTTATGTTTGGATTAAATTTCTAATAAGTTTTAATAAATAATTAATAAATAATAAAAACTTAAAAATAATAGAAAAAAAATTACACACAAATAAAACTTAGCTAGTTAATAAAAAATTAAAATCAAAATACTGTTATATAATAATAATTTGCATGAAAAATAATTATTTAAATATTCAAAAAATATATCATAAATTAGTTTCAATTTACAATTGATTATCACAATCATCATGATTTTTATTGTTAATTGTATCATGGTGATTATCAATAGTAGTTTTATTATTATTATTATCATTAAACTTGCTAACATATTTACCTAGATAAATAATTATCACTAATAATACAATACTGGCCACTGACATTGGTATAGTAAAATAAATATACATTAGGGGATTATCCTCAATATACGTGCCAAACAAAAATGGTACAAAAAATTCAGCCAAACATGTGAGCAAAGTGATTACTGAACCAATTGAATCGTTGATTGGTGTAATCAATTCAATTAGATTCATCAAACAGCCTAATAGTGGTGCAAAACCTAAACCATAGACTATGGTAGCCAACCATAGGACAGCATAGCCGTTGGTGAACAAGTAGATAATATAGGCACCGGTAGTTAGCGATAGCGATACCAATAGTATTGATTGTGGCCGTAAGTATTTGGTCAGCAAAATACATGCTAATTGACTGACCACTAGGGCTATACCGAAACCGGTCGACAAAAGTGCAGCCGTTTGTTGGCTAACATTCTGGCCATACAAGCGGACAAATGTCGGAAAATATACGTAAAACGAGTGTTTTATTGAATAGTACCAGAAATATATGATAAATATAATCAATAATTGCAAAAATATCCATTTTGTTGGAAATAAATCTTGTTTAAATTGTTGGATAAATTGTTGAAATAATTTTTTCAAACAATTATTATTATTTTGATTTTGATTATCATTATTATTATTATTAGATTGTCTATAACTATAGCTATTATGTCGGGGTATACAGGTGAGGAGAATAAAGTTGAAGACGTTTTTGATGAACGATTTACTAGTTATGGCAAATATTGGATAATAGATTTTTACTAAAAAATAATCTCCAAATATGTAAAATTGTTATCATATAAAATATTTTAAAATCTAATTAAAAATGTGGCTACAATTTACTTTCAAAGTTGAGATATACCTTTAGGCTTTTTTAACCAAAATTATTTTAGTGATTTTTGTTTGTTTAAAAGAGTATTTTAAATATTAAAAAACTGTTATTTTTTGGGAACATAGTAAAACTTAGAGGCATCATTTGCTAAAAAATAAAATTAATTTTTAATAAAAGCAATAGTCGTTTTGACCATTTAAAATTTCTATAGACATTAAAGTTATTATTTTAGTTAATATCTTTAATAATAGTGAAAAAATAACTAAATATGCTTTAAATAAAAATAATATTAATAATTTAAAGATATCTTTAAAAAAAATACTAAATACTATAAATTAATGATGAAAATTTTTGTCTAAAACTTTACAGTCTTAAACAATGATAAGATTGAGTATATCTTCAAGATTTTCTATATTTGTTTTTTAGATATTTATTAAAATATAATTTAATTTTGATACATTAGACATGACTATATAAAATGCGGAAAATATAATTTATTTCCGAACTTTAACTAGAGTATAATTTTTTATATTAATGTGATTTTCCTTTATTAATTTAAGAAATTTTTATAAAATTTTGCTGTGGATTTTGAAGTTTTAGAACTAATTAATTGTTTTAAATTTTAATTTTTTAATTATAGTTATTAATATAACAATTATTAATTTAAATTCATTTATTTGAGGTATATTTAACTTATTTTATTTGTCTCTGGACTTGGAATTTTAGAACTTTTATGCAATTTTTTCAACTAATGTTTACATTTAATATTAGAAATTATGATTTTTATCACTTTTTTTGTTTTAAAATATTTTATTATTAAATAATAATAATTATTATTGTTTAAAAATCACTAAAAGTGTATTCCAACTTTGAAAGTAAATTGTAGCCAAATTTTTAATCGGATATTAAAATAATTTTTATCACAACAATTTTACATATTTGGAGATTATTTTTTAGTAAAAAAATAATATCTAATATTTGCCATATTTTGTAAATCGTTCATCAAAAACGTTTTCAACTTTATTCTCCTCACCTGTATATCGTCTAAACATGAAAACAATTAGCATTATAATACCGCTCAGGGATATTATAGATCCAATAACTATATAAGTAGTATATATCTGGGTATCGGTTATCTGTGTTATCATACATGTTGATGATAATGATGATGATGGTGATTTAGTAGAATTATTTAGCATGGTCATAATATCGTTGACCATATCATCGACAACTAGACTATTGGTACAATTATCATCCACCAGGACAGTTATCTCCGATGATAGAAATGGCTTAACAATTAGCGGACTAGTAATTGTTGATAAACTAAAAACCATACCCAACGCCTGTATGTACGGACCACATTGGCGGTCCCACATTTCAACTATCCATACATTAACCAATATATAGCTACCAATGTTGGCCAATGCTACCAGTGTCTGGACAATTGTAAACTGGGTCAGTGTTGCCAGATTTGGTATCAGTGTATTCAATATGCCAACTAGTATTACTATTGAACCGTATAATAACTGTTTGTTTATATATTTGGACACAATATGTACTTGTTGTGTTTTTAAAAATAAAAAAAAATTAAAAATAATTTGTAGATTAGATTTTATATAATTTTTTTATACAGTATATATTAATATTAATTTAATTATATATATATTTTTTTAAAATAGTAATAACTTAAAATAAAAACTATAAAAATAATTTTTTGAAAATTTTTATCTAAATATCTAATAAAGTTATATACAGTTTATGCCACTTACTGTAATAGTTTAAATTTGAGTAATATTATATAATGCTTTATCAAGGTACTATACAGTATATAACTTACCTAATATAAGCTAACTGTATACTAAGTTACCTTGCTTAGCGTAAAGTTAATTGTTTACTCAAATTTAAACTTTTAATTGGCATTATCTGGTATAATAAGTTACTTAAACTATAAATAATTATTTAGTTAATAATAATTTAATATAATTTTTTTTTTTAAATAAAATTAAATTAAAAATTACTTAATGATGCAGTTATTGTAGCAATTGATGTTATTTGCAATACACGCGATATGCCAGCTAGATCAGTTTTATATATGGTTGCCAGATCATTTAGGACTACACCGAAAATTATAGGCGGTATTGACTATTTATGATTGATTTAAAAAAATAAATAAATAAAATTTATGTTTTTTTGCTTCTAATTTATAAACAATAAAAACTTGTTTAAAATTATTTTTTTTAAATATATTATTTAATTAATTTATATACAAATATCAAATATATTTTAGATTACCTGGAAAAAAGCGCACATAAAAATTGTAAATGTTATTAAATATTTATCAATTTTTCTATTAGTTTTACCAGGATCCATTATTAGTTTTTTTTGTGTATGGAAATATTTTAATTATTACAATAATAATAATTATTATTAATTATTACAATAATAATAATTATTATTAATTATTACAATAATAATAATTATTATTAATTATTGTTATAAAATATTTTATTAATTTTTTTTATAAAAATGTAATATATATACTGTAAATCAATATATATATATATAATAATTTTATATTACATGACATTAACAATATTTGAAAAATTTTTTAAAGTTATTTTTTTTAAATAAAAAGATTTAATGTTTTTATTTTTTTTAAATTTACGTTTCATCATGTGGCAGTAAATATTTTCAAAAAAATATATATTTAATTATTCATACAGGTATGTTTAAATTATATATATATATATATACATTTCTACTAAATTTAAATTATTTATAAATACCTTAAATAATATTTAATAATTTGTTGACTACTATAATCATTAGGGTTGAGATCTGGGTGGAGGGGGTGGGATGGGGTGGGGTGATGACAGTTTACATACATATGTAACTACAAGTTTTTATTATATTAAATTTTTGTTGTTGTTGTTTATTTTATATTAAGTTATTTTTTTTATAACATAGAAACAAACAAACAAAATTATTATAAATTTAACAAATATATAAAAAAATACATGAATTTATGTTTGAGTAGAAAATTAATTATATAATAGTTTATATAAATATATTTTTTTATTAAAAAAAAGGTAAAAATTGTGATAACAATATTAAATTTTGTTGTTGTTGTTGTTGAAAAATTTATATACATAATACTTATAATACTTAAATTATTATTATTATTATTAATAATTATAATTATTATTAGTTTACAATTGATCATCACTTTCATCAACTAAATCGATATCAATAGTATTAAGTTGATCATCAATAGTAGTTTTATCATTGATATTATTATCATTAT